GATTTGTTTATACTGCTCTATATACTATACACTGACATGTAAGTACAATATGTATATTCCAATTGATTTATTTTATATGGTAAAAATGAGAACGGAAGCAACTGTTCAGTAACAGCGTGCTGTGACACTTTTGTATTATGTCTGAGTTTGTAAGTAAGTAGTTTTTAAGTGAGATGAAACTTGGGAGCACACCAGACAAATCAGACTCCGTAAAGGGGTACAGTAGTCTGGAAAAGTTGAGAGCCACTGGTTTATAAGATAGACACACAAAAATTAGAATATATTACATTTTCACATAAGAACCCTGATGCTAAAAGTTACATCTGATGGATAGACATATATACCCACTACCAAAATGCACATAGTCATTCACTGATTAACTGTGTGATCCTATGATTCTAACCCTTATCAGCTCTTCCTGTACCAGCCTTTGGTTTGTTCATTTGCTTTGTCCTGTTTAAATTTAGGCCCTGATCCTGTGAAGACTTAGCCAAGTGTTTACCATTAGGCACTGTGAATGGTTTCATTGAAGTAAACTGAAGACTGCTCACAATGGGTAAAGTTGAATAAAAGTATAAGTTTTTGCAGGATCGGGGCCCTTTTTTTAAGCTCCTGTGGGCACATTTTTTTACCTGTTTTTGTAAAGTTTCTAGCACACATTTGGATGGACAAAAACCAACAATAAAACAATGTTAACAGTTACACTGCTCAGTACCCTTGGATAGAGAGTACTGCTGACGCACCAAAGGGGTAAAGGTCTGAGAAAGGAGAGAAAGTCAGAGACAGGAAACCTCCCTGGATCCGATCCTACCCCCACTCCCACTTAAGCAGTGGTGGGCAACCTGCAGCCGCGGGCTGCACATGGCCCATCAGGGTAATCCGCTCGCGGGCCGCGAGACAGTTTGTTTACATTGACCGTCCACAGGCACAGCCGCCTGCAGCTCCCAGTGGCTGTGGTTCAGCGTTCCCGGCCAATGGGAGCTGCAGGCGGCCGTGCCTGCGGACGGTCAATATAAACAAACTGTCTCGCGGCCCGCCACCGGATTACCCTGATGGGCCATGTGCAACCCGCGGGTCTCAGGTTGCCCAGCACTGCGCTTGAGCTAAGTGCAGTTTCTCCACTCATTTAAACGGGGCTTCCCAGGCAGAGCCAAGTCTGTGCTTGGAGCACGAAAGAAGCCAGGCTACATGTGCCTTCACTGTCATACTTTCTGCTTCAAGTGAATCCAGAAGACACAACATGAGGCCTGTGACATAAAACCACCACCACCAGGCAATCCCTGCCTAGGTAAGGAAGTAGTTATGCTCCTTTAAATCCCTTCATTTTCACTGGTATCTGAATTAGCCTTAGTAGATGGAACACTCAGAGGTTATTTTGGGTCAGAAAATGTACAAATCTAAGTAATGTTGCAATGCCCAATGAAATATTCAGAAGTACAGCACTAGTGGCATATTGTAAAACTTCATCATTAGAAATAGACTAACATGAGGTCCTCTGCTCTGCTTCTGTGGAATACAGAATGCCTCTCTTGGAAACCTGTTCTTTTACCTATTTGTCCCTGTTCTGCTGCTAATCAGGAGAGGTTTCCAGCCCATATCATCTTTCATATCAAAGGCTTTTTGTTGGGGATTATAGTCAGTGATTAGCTAGTTTGTAATGCTTGGCAAAGCATCCTCAGGTGAGCAGGTTACTATAAATCTGCTGTGAAATCATATTAATAGAGTGAATTCTATCAGCAGCATTTTCTGGGGATTTTGAAGGGAGAACCCAGGTGCTGCTCTTTGCATAGCTCTCCTCACTTCTTTGCATATTGACTTTTATTCCCCTGTGAACAAGCCGTGTATTGCTTTCTGGAGTGTTTAAACAAGGCGCCAATCATTACAACAGGCTGGAGAAAAACCATCATTGAATGGCCCATTAAGCTTGATGCCGGCTCTGAAGAGAGGAACAGCTTCCCTCAGTTGGCAATATGCTTGCAGGTTAGTGGTAGTGCAAAGAGTAGCAGGTGACTGCAGTCTGGCTGCACTTTCGCGGTTCTGTCTTGTCTCTGTTGGACAGTCAGTGATGTGCTGGAAGGTGCTGACTGGGGCTTTCCCTTTTTACATTTCTGGCACCAAATTCCAGGGAGAGCGAGGTAATGTCAGGTGCTGCTGGCAGACGTCTTAGGTTATGCTGCTTAAAGTCCTTTTGTTTAAGGGACAGATTCTCCAGCCCCTCCTCTCTGCGCATACCCACAGCCCTGAGCACATGCTAAGCTGGGTTTAGCACAGGCTAGGCAGGATCCCCTTACTGACAATTCACTGTCACATCACTAGGCCACTTCTCCCTGACAACTGGGCCAGAGATTATTTGCACCTGCAGATCCATCCCAGTGGATTTCATTGAGCAGTCTTGTCTTGGGTGACCAGGGAACCTGTTAACAGGCACCTGACTCATGCAAAGTCCATGGCTTATTTGGTTAATACCATCCATTGTTAACGGAGGACCAAGCCCTATTTTGCATTCATTACTGAAGCCTGGCTGGATATTTTAAGTCCAGTGTGTTCTAGATGAGAAGTTGGTTCAACTTGAACCAGGAGAGGGTTTGGTATCAGCTATAGCAATTACAATATTATTGGTATGTATTGTTATATGTAGTATGGTAGAGCAGGGGTCAGGACCCCTCTGAGCTAGGTGCTGTACACATGTAAGAAAAAGACAATCCCTTCCCCAAGGAGCTTGCAGCTGCCCTTTGAAGTAGGAGGTACCTTACCCCAAAAAAGGGTTTGTTTTAGTGTGTCTGGCAAGGCGAGGGTTAAGATGGGAATAGCTTTAGTCCCATCTGTGTGTCAGAGTCTGTGTCTTGGCCTGGTGCTAGCTAGCTTGGCTTGGCAATTTCACCATCCCTGTGGGGGTCTTATCCATGAAAGAGAACTCACAGGATCGCATGGCTACCTTGACAGCCAGCAGACAATGCCAGGCTGTCTGGGGCTCAGTGTGCCCAAGTGGGTGTTTTGGGCTATCTTGAGGGGCTCAGAGGGGGGTATAGAGACTAAACATTCATTGGGAGTGGCCCATCACCTCCATCAGGTCACACCGGTGCCCCCCTCAGAGCAGGTCTTTTTCACTGGGCTACCCTTGGAAAGTGCTGGCACTAGCGGGGTTTCAGATCAGAGCTGGAGTCCTGTCGCCCTGGGTTGCTCTACTGAGGGCCTTGTAGGAAACTACATTTATCTTGTGTTATCTCTATGGCAGCTCCTAGATAGCTGCACTCCCTTTACTCCGGTGACATATGAAGCCTTAGGGGAGGAGACCAGAGCGTTGAGGAACGCAACAGCGCTTGCTCTGACTGGCCTAGCATCTGCTGTCCTGTGTCTGTGCAGGGGCTTTCATCTGCTAGAGCAGCTGCCGAGCCTTGTCCAGTGAACCTGTTGCAGACAGCACAGTGGCACCGTCTCACTGTAGGGAATTCCCCTCTGCTTCAGGGCCACACATCTGGCTCTGAGGCAGCAGCGCTGTGTGTCGCTACTCGACACAACTGTTCGGTTCTGACTTTCAACTGCTCTTGCTCCCACGGGTTCCGGAGCTGCTTGAAGAACTGTGGTCTGCCACATGTGAGATGAGCCATAGGATGGGACAGTGGCTAGAGAGAGCAACCTGGCACTTGTGATGCCTAAGAGCAATTCCCTGTTCTGCCACAAGTTTCCCGGGGGCCTTGGACATGTCACTTATAGCCAGATTGTCAAAGGGGTGTCAGCACCTGGGGGGTTCAAAAGCACTGAGGTGGGCCAGTGATCTAACCAGGCACCTAAGTACTGTGCCCATTCCTGTCTCTGGGCCTCAATTCCCCAGCTGGGGCTCCCAGCACTGCCCTGCCTCTCAGATGGTTGTGAGAATAAATAGAGTGAAGCCTATGGATGCTCAGACACTGTGATGAGGGGGGCCGGATAGTAGCTGAGATAGAAAAGGCAGGGCTGGGGAACAAGGCTACCCTTACACAAATGGCTGTCTGACCTCGTTTTTGCCTGCCCTCCCTCTCTGGTCTTAGGACGCCTGTCGGGCACAAATGATGCCATCTGACTCCTTTAACCCCTCCGAGTCTTGCTTTAGGCCAGGAGCTTGCCCCCATCTCTGCAACTGAGCTAGGAATGGGCTGTGACCAGGTCTATCAGCAGCCAGGCCCAGAGCTATGAGGGGGCAGGCAAAGGGGATATTTGCCTCCCCAAATAATCTTCAAGGAGCCCCAGATTATTGTCAGAAAGGCTAAGCTATATTCAGCATGTACAGCCTTCATCCTTTATAAATCACAGCTAAAACTGACCCAGTAGCCAAACGTTCCTTTTTTAACCTGTCCAGGACTCCAGCAAGGCTGTTTGTTTTTTAACTAGCAGCATCCAGGGACCCCAAGCCACCCCCTTGCCCCTGGCAGCAGTGAGACCCTAGAACTGGCCCTGTCAGCAGCCTCTACTACAGACCACGAGGTTTCGTTTGCTGTGCGGTGGGTCCTGGCAGGAGGGGATGGGGTTGTGCTTGAGACTCCACAGGGAGTTACTGGGGGGCTGCTTCTCTGCCCCAAGGGCTGTCATATGAGACTCTGCAGGACTGTGTTTCACTGGGTGTTGAGGCTATGGGAGGAATAGTGAGGCTGCCGGCTCTAGTGCCAGGTGGATGCTGATCATGCTTGGCTCTGGGATTAACTTTCATCGGACTCAGCCAATGCCATGTCTCTGCTCTCCCAGCACCTGGCCAAGACAGCAGCTTGGTGGAGGGCAAGAAGCTCAGATTCCATGCTGGACGAATGAAAGTGACATGGCTACTGGCCCTCGGGTAAGAATGCGCAGTGACTCCCTGGAGGAGATCAAGACCTCAGCTGGCCCAGCAGGCTGCAGCAGCACAAAACTCCAAGTCCCATAGGGGCTTTATCCAAAGACTGCTGAGGGCCTTTAAAGATCACAAGCGCTTAGTTATCTGATCCCTGGAGACCCTCGGTCAGCAGAACACACTACTATGGCGAGGAAGCGGCTTTCATTCTGGCTTTATTAGTGGCTGCAAATACATCTGCAGAATCCTGCCACTAGAGGTTGGGTTTGAAAGCAGGGCTACATGTTTGGCTGGAAAGGGATCTGGGACCTTCTTTTTTTCCACAAGGCTTTCAGTGATATTGGCCAACTCCCCCGTCCCCCACGCCACATCCTGATAGATAGAGAGCAGAGACTCTCCCGTCACCGCCAGCTAAATTCCTCTAGGTAATTTATTACTTTTAATGTGCTAGTTAATTACATAGTGAATTTAAATGCATTTGTCGTGGTGCTTGTGCTGTCCTCAGGCTCCACCGGGAATCCTCTCCATCCAGCCCTACAGACGGAGGAAAAGGAAACGCAGGTGAAAGGTCAGACAACAGGACTGCAGCATAGCGGTTGCATGGGAGGCTCAGTGATGAATGGACTCACCTCTTGAGTGGATACCCAGGAAACAAAGCAGTGCCTGTGACAGCCCCCATCTTTGACTCCAGGGACTGAACTGGGGACCGCCAGAGTTAAGGTGTGAGTTAGAGAGCCTGGCTCTCTAGCTAGGGACTGTCACAGACTCGTATCCTCTGGGGATCAGGCACCAAGTGGAACACATAACACATGCTGATCAGTGGGTTGCAATTGAACAGAGGTGCCAGGGCATAAGGGGCAGCATTCAAAGCATGACTGGGGCTCTCGGACGTAGAACAAAGTGTGAATCTGGCTATGCTCTTGGGTATGCTAGCTGTGGTGTACCAAGGCTGAGAAAAGGCATGTGACTCTAGCCACCTTTCTGTGGACACGGATTCTGAATCACATGGGCTGGAGGAAGGATGCCAGCCCCAGGGATGCAATGGGAATCCAGCTATGCTCTAGGAGACAGGGCCTAGGATGCTAGGGCTGGTGCAATGCAACATGACCATTAAGAGAAGCCTTTACCTGAGGTTTACTTGAATGTGTGACTCTCGGTACCGCCCCGGCCAAATCCTGCAAGAGAACCAGAATGAGGTCATTACCACCTGAGGCATCAGAAGCAGGGAGCAGGAACCAGTGCCGTGGCTGTGAGAGCCCTTGGGCTAGTGAGACCACTGCCTCTCCTGCTGACCCATATTCTCCCAGACCATCTGTAGCCATCTGTCGTTCTTCTCTTACACTGATTGGCAGCTCTTTGGGGCAGGGGCTGCTGTGTTTGTACAGTGCAGCGGGGCCCTGGTCCACGACAGGGCTCCGAGGCACTATTGCAATACAAATAAGAGTGAGCGCAGTGAGAGACACGCCTCCCGGTGCCCTGGAACTGCCACAGAGTGCAGAGACCAAACACAACATCCAAGCTGGGGGAAGAACGACGACCACAGCCTGAATATTCCCAGGGCCATGAGCCAAAGGTCTAGTAGACACCTCTGACAGCCCACCCATGGCTTTAGAGGGGACTGAGACAAAGCTGTCTGCAATACGGCATTTCAAATGGAAACCACTCACACACTGGGGCCCAACTTGCCTCCAGATAGAGAGGCAAACACTAACTGGAGTACAGGGGGGCTGGAACAAGAGTCACAGCTTTTAATAGCTGGGTCACTAGCTCAACATGGCCCGCGGCCAGCAGTGACCCAGTGCACTAAGGCTGAGAGCCGGGCAGCAGCCTGTGTGAAGTGGGACAGGGGGTCCTAGTCACTCAGTGGCACAGGAGTCCATGTCACAAATGTAGGAGCACTAGCTAGCTGGCCCAGAGTTGTCAGCCTCAGTGGAAAGGGCGAGCAAGGAGCGTATGGGCTGTGGGCTGAACTCCCTTCTCAGCAGGAGCACGCTGACGGGAGGCAGGCCCCGGGGAAGCCAGCACTGGAGCTGCTCCTGCCATGCCCGTCCTCTGCAGACACAGGGGATTTCAGTCCCATTTTTAGCAGCAGCAAATTCATGTTCAAATTGCAGGAACTGGTCTAGGAGACCTCTTGAGGTCCCATCCAGTCCTACACGTCTATATAAAAACAGTTCATAGTGCAAGTCCCCTCCCTACAGAATGCTGGAAGTGAACAGCCCCCTTGCTGGTAGCCCGAGCCCTGTCATGGTCTGTTAGAACTCCAGCCCACAGAGCATTTCAGGGGGCCTATGTGCGGGGAGCAGCGAGTGGCTTTTCCCTCCAGGGGATTGGCTCCAAAGAGCAGGAGCATCACAAGGGGAAAAGGAGCTCAGCCCTATAGCCACGGAATCCCTGCCTCAACAGCCCGGACAGCACTCAGCCCTTGCATGGCTGTGAAAGGGACTGGGGTGTGAGCACACGTTACCCAGCCTTGTGGGGCTGCTCACAACAGCACCCCCAGAGCTCGCTCCTGCTCCCCCTTGGGGAGTCGCTGAAAAGGAGGCTGGGGAATGACCTGCCTGCCCCTTCCCCACCAGCCTGAAGACCAGGAGAGGGAGCCATTCGAGGGCAGCCGATTGGCTGGCACAAGGTGCACTGGGAACAGTCCTGGCAGAGACACTGCCTCCCTGAGGTGCAGCTCCACCCCGCCCCCTGCAGGGCTGTGGTGGTAGCATCCCAAGACAAGAGCAGCAGGAGGAATCAAGGGTGATGCCTAAAGAGGCCAAGTGGCACAAAGGATGTGGAGTCCTCCTGGAGAGCTGGCTCCAGCTGAGGTGCCAAACATTGAAAACCAGGCCCAGGGGAAGGGCTAGGACTGGACAGGTTGAGCATGGGGCTAGCAGCTCAGGAGGCAGCTGCCTACCCCTGGTGGGGAACAAGCCTCTGTTATGGGGTTACTGGGCGATGGCTTCCCTCTGGTGAAGGGACTTGAGACCAGGGGACTGAGGGAAGGAAACCCCTGTTGCATGTGGGAGGAACGTGGTCACCGTGTGGGTTATCTTTCAATTTACCCTCCCAACCAGCTGTGCGGAGCAATGTGCCACTCTGCCCTTCTCTCTGCTGTCCCAGAGCTCAGGCTGCAGCCCAAGAATAATTAAATAGCCCCTTAGCCTGTTTAATTGCAGCTGGTACAGGCCAGCCATGGGTGTCTGATTGCTGTGTAGGTGTCAGTGCTCTCCTTCCCTGCCACAATCCTACCCAGGCTGCATACTCAGGAATTAAGGAATCTGAACTGGTGTCATCAGGGTTCCAGCTACTGACGTGCTAGCTCTGCCCTGGCAGTAGGACAGCAGCTCCTCTGAGCCCGCTGAGGTGTCTCGGGGGGATAAAAGTGGGTCCCATTCTCCGGAGACTGAGGATGCCGCTCCTCCTAGCAGCAGGAGGGGGCAGGCTACAGTCACTCTTGACTCTAGTTCTCCCACCCAATGGCCTGGCGTTTTACCCTTGTAGCTTCTAGAGATAAAGAGAAGGATTCCATGTTCCCAGCCAACCCACATGCTGACAAGCAACAGCTGCATAGCTCAGCCAGGGGTCTGGCTGACTTGTTGTCCAGCGTAGCCCACTAGCTGCTGTTAAGGCTTAAGCCAATATCCTGCTGACTTGGAGTGGCATGTAGATGACACTTCACGTTACACCCCAGCAGCCACAGAGTGGATGGCGGGGCAGAAATTCAAGTAGAATTCCACAGCCTCTAGCATTGGCGCCACATCAACAATCGCATTCAGCAAATCACATTCCAAAGGAGTGCGTATTGAACCTGAAACCAAAGAGCTGGGGGGGAGAGGGGGGAGGAGAGGGAGCTGCAGCAGGGAGGGGAGAATTCAGACCTGTAACTCAAAACTTTCTAAAGCTTGCTGAGTCGCAGTGTCTGGAGCCCCACAAATTTTGAGATTCCTTCTCTTCAGCATTCTCATCTCTTCAAAGCGTCTAAGAGGTTCTGGCAAATTGCATGGGCTTGTGGGTTTTCACACCCTTCAATCTGTGACTAGACGGCTGGGTTGGGCAGCGTGGCTGGCCTGTGAAAGCACACTAGACTACCTCACTACAGTGAAATGTGCAAAGCACTTAAGTTGACTCGTGCCATGTCCAGATGAGCAGGCCCATTTGTGCCATCACTCACACTGGTACAATGCCCACCAGCTCCGGGGAGAGTCACACCTGTGCAACAGAGGACAAAACTGTGACTGTAGAATCTGAAGATGGGGAGGGTAAGATTTCTTCCAACACTCAGGGTACGTCTACACTACAGCGACAGTTACAGCGCTGCAGTTGTGCTGCTGGAGCACTGCAGTGTAGATATTTCCTACAATGACAGAAGGGGGCTGGCTATCAACGCAGGCAATCCACCTCTCTGATTGGAGGTAACTAGGTCAATGGGAGAATCCCTCTGTCGACCTAACCACCTCTATATCACGGGTTAGGCTGACCTAACTACAGTGGTCAGGGCATGAAGCTAGATTGACCTAAATTATAGGTGTAGGCCAGGCCACAGCATTGACCTAACTCTGCTCCTGCCGAAGTAAAAAGCAAAATTCCCATTGACTTCGGAGCTGGGCCAGCGCTGAGACCTTTTGAACATCCTACCCAGAGAGAAACCACAGTGTAGATCCAGAGGAGCATCTCTCCAGCCAACGTGACCGAAGTCTGTGAGAGACAGAGCTTCTGCTCCAAAGGCCACAATTCAAGTTTGAGGCAGTGCCTACAAAGCGGTCAAGAGAAAGTTGCCCACCCCTGGAGAAAGGGGAAGGAGGCGTGTGTAGATGTTGAAGGGTGACTGCACGCAGGAGGATGTGTGATGACAGCCATATGAGTAGAGATTGTGAAGGGGAGGACAGGTGTAAAGTGTAATGGGTGTAGGTGTATTTAGGGGTGTGCACATGGCTCTAGCGGTTTGCCCCCGAGTTTAGGGACATATGAGGGAAGACAAGGGGCTAAGGGGGGAGTGGCTGTGGGGGTGCATGAGGGGCTTGTGAGCTGGGAGTTCAGGCAGGAGAGGCTGTGGATGGACGCAGGGATGTATGTGCATGGATCTGTATGCTAGAACATGTGATCATGCTTCTGGGCAAGAACCCCAGGAGACAGACACCACTGGTGCCAGTACCCAATATCCAGCCAGGGAGAGGTGGGAAGCCCCAAGCATGGAGAAACTTACCTTTGGGTCCAAACAAAGCAGCATAGCACGGCTGGTTGCAATAGGGCTTCCCATCATGCTGCAGAGAGAGAAGAGACTCCTCAGTGCCACATTACTCAGGGGAGTCTGAGACAAGCAGGGCCCAGGAACTGGGCATCAGAACAGGCACTGCTCAGTCACTGGGCCTATTCTTAACCCTGTGAGTATGGATCTAGATTAACAATTCCTGGGCCCTGCTCTCTTGTCCCAGCTGTGTCAGTGACCTCCCCTACTGCCTGCTCTTCCAGTTCTGGGCCCTGCCATTGTTCTGCCAGTCATCCCGAGTGGAGTCCTGACCTCACTACAGCTTTGCTAAACTAAAGAAACAGAAACATGCCAGGAGAGCCAAATCAGAGCCTCGTCTAAGGTCCACTCACGTTCTTCCTCACCTGAGACCTGCTCTGGACATAGGTCTCTGGATAAAGCTAGGGGACCCTGCGCCACCCAGCCCACAATCCTAGTGACACTTTGCCCCATTACACGCAATGGGGAATTCCCTCAGTTCCCTACAGGATTTCTCCAACTCGGCAAATCCCCCCTCCAGGGGACCTGGACTGGCCCAATGTCTCTGCCCTGTCAGGTTAGTTCAGTTATTATGGCACCCCACTCACCGGGCCATCCTGGTGCTGGCAAACCAGCCTGCCCACACACACAGCAAGCCCACAGCTTGGAGCTGGCTAATGCAGAGTTCTTGCTACTTTGAGGCAGGGCCCCCAGATAGTCCCATATTCCATGGAATCAACCAAAGAACTCACCCCTTGCTGCAGAATCTCAGCTTCCCGCTTTTAAAATTCTATTTCTGGCCCCCAAGTCTGAGACCTGAGTAACTGATGCAGCGATGGCTGCCTGCATCTCCAAGAGCTGTGAACTCCCCGCTCATCACAGGCAGGGCCCAATGCACCCTGTGATTCTGCAGCAGTGGAGCTTGCCATTGGCTCCAGGATGCCATGGAATGCAGCCCTCTTGCCCTGGCATTAGATGTTTTGCTGCGGCCAGACCCTCTCTGGTCAGCTGCAACCCGCCATTTGTTCTTCAAATTTCCCCACAATGGGGAGATGATTTTACTGTGCACAGCACATGCACTAGGAGTCCAGCTTGCAGCCAAGGAGCAGGGAGAAGCCAGAAATGTAGGCTGGTTAACTAGGTGGCCTGGAGATCCCCCAGCAGTCCAGGCCTGGGGCAATGAGCCGCTGAAGCTTGCTATAAGCTCCCTGCTTCCGGGGGTGAAGGAGGGTCTGAGCCGGACAGCACTGCAGGAGCAGAGGCCAAGGGAACAGTGCCAGGCTGGCTGGAGAGTACAGTGAGAACCCCACCCTCAGAAATACCCAGCAACAATTTGTACCTCAGTGAGCCTTACAAGTCTGAGCCTGTGCGATGAGTGTGTGTGTGAGGGGGGATGGAAACAAGGGTACTGCATGGTGCGGGGATAAAGTCATGCTGCTGCAGAATTTGGGAGCTGGGGCTGTGAAATACGGGCCCCTTGTGCTGTGGAGTACCTGGGAATCCACTTTGCAATGGCAGCGTGCACTATGCTGCCACCCACAGGTGAGGGGTATAAAGAAGCAGCTGATTAAAGCTTCTTGACATGTCTGTCCTACACGTTGGAAGATGCAGCTAAGAGTTACAGTGACACAGAGCTGGTGGCCACCTCACCCCCTTACCTCAGCATGGCCACCTGAAGTCAGGGTCTTGTTGCATTTCTCACACTTCAAGCATGGTCGGTGCCAGTCTTTCCCCAGGGAGGTAACCTTCTCAGCTGTCAGAGTGCGGAAACAAAAGAGCACCATTCAGGAGGCTGTGATAAGGCACCGAGCCAGCAAGGGTTGGCAAGCTGCTGTGGGCCCTCAGCCCAGCCCCACCCCACTACACCTGCACTCGCTGTCAGGTATCGGAGGGGCTTTTCACGAGGGAAGAGAACAGCTCAGGAGCTGGCTGGCCAGCCCGGGAGAACAGCCCTTTGTGCCCAGCCCAGCCCCTCTGCGTCCAGCCCAGCCTCTCTGCAGAGACTGCTGGAGCCCTCCGGAGGAAGGTATGGCTGGCACAGGACGACTGAGTTCGTCTTCTTCATGGCACCGCTTCTTTGCTTTACTACGTAAGGACTCTGGGGCTGCCTGTGTGGGCTGGGACAGGCCAGAGAGGTGTAAGGAGACTGTCACAGGGAAAAGATGCCACGGCAGAGGTGGGGAGCTGCTTCAATAAACTCTGTGGACTTTTGCACTCTACATGCATCTGTCCTGGACCCAAACAGTGTGGTCACTGTAAGAGTTCTATACTTGGAAAAATGCCTTGTGTTCCCAATGATTAAATCCAAAAGCTACTGGGGCATCTCTCATTCCAGCTTTCAGTGGGGCTCACTCACTGTTCGACACTTGCTTGTCCTGGAGGGGGACTGACAGTTTTCAAATTCAGACACCTACACTGCACTTGCAAAATAAATAAAAATCCATGCAGCCCATGCGTGTGCATGTGTGTGGGCAGCAGGGCCCGCTCCAGGCACCAGCTTACCAAGCAGGTGCTTGGGGCGGCCACTTCGGAGAGGGGCGGCACGTCCAGCTGTTCGGCGGCAATTCAGCGGACGGTCCCGCACTCCTGCTTGGAGCAAAGGACCTCCCGCTGAACTGCCGCCGGAGATCGTGATTGCGGTCTTTTTTTTTTTTTTGGTTTGGCTGCTTGGGGCGGCCAAAACACTGGAGCCGGCCCTGGTGGGCAGAAAAACAGGCAGTAGCATGCGTAGTACTTGCTTTGCACACATAAAAGCATGGCTTGCACAAGCATTTTTCACACCGGCTTGGGTGTCTGATTTCTAGGCAAATTATTGCCAGTCGGAAGATTTGAGCTCTGAAGCGCCTGCTGCGTCATTACCTCCCCATTCCTTTCTGGAAGGGCCTATGCGTCTCCGTTTGACACAGATTCATTACTGTTCACGTTAAAACTTGTTCAGATGGGGAGACTTGCAGAAGAAAAATGGCAACAGAGTCAAATTTAGGGAACACCAGAGTACAGCCAGCCCTCACCCAGCACGGAGGACTGCCCTCCTCTAGTCTAGTAGAAATTCTTCTGCATAAGTTGGCATCTGAACTTGAAAACCAGTAACCTCAATTGACACTGGTTACAATAATCCCTTAAATTCCAAGGTAACCAGGGCCGGCTCTGGCTTTTTGGCCGCCCCAAGCCAAAAAAAACCAGAACGGCAAAGCAAAAAAAAACAACCTGTGGCGCGGTTGGAGTGCGGATGCAGGGGGACGTGGCTGTGGGGGGGGGCGGGAGGGGGAGGGAGCAGGCAGGAGAGAGAGAGAAGGGGACGGCCAGGGCTACAGCAGGGTGCTGCCACGCAGCCCCTCCCACTGCGCCGCCTCCTGCCGCCTGCCGCGAGGGCTCCGCTCCGGTCGGCGGGGAGGGAAGGAAGAGGACTGCCCTGCAGGGCGCTCTGGTTCTCCACGCCACCGCCCCCTATAGGGCGGCTGGAACGGAACAAGAACAAAACAAAACAAAAAAAAGCGTCCGTGCCGCCCTAGGATTGGGCAGAATGCCGCCTCCAACAATCTGCCGCCCCAAGCACCAGCTTGCTCAGCTGGTGCCTGGAGCCGGCCCTGAAGGTAACGATCCCTTTTGGCACCTGTGAAAACCTGTCTGACAATCATGGGGGGAGAGACACCTGGACCAACACTGGGAAGCAAAGTATTGCAAAACATCCTTTTTCCAACCCACAAATACAGGGAACCTCCTGCCGTCAGGGTGTTGGGGACACATTTCTTGCTAAAAGCCACAGCAAACAGTAGTGTATTTGGAGACTGGCCTGGGTTCAGGCAACTGAAGACAGCCCCAGAGGCAGCTAAAAAAGGAACAATGAGGTTACTCCCCTAGTCCGGAACAGGTTTACATTAGGAGAGAACACAGGATGGAATTTAACTATAGCACAAAGGATGTAATTTGCTAAAGAGGCTAGTGTGTTCTTTCTATTAGCAGCTGCACTCACGGATGTGTACTAAGTGATAACGCTGAGCTTTCCACAGGAACCCTTTCAGTGCCAGGACCTTTGAGTGGATTTTCCATGCCTGAAAAAGGCAGGGGCCTGAGCTCGGGGACAAAATTTCTTCCTATGCACCAATACCTCTCCACTCTGTGCTCTGCTGCTGCAGCAGAGTGCTGGGTGAGGAGTGCTGCTCTGCCAGTTCTTTGGCATTACAACTCCTTTTCTGGGTGGGCAGAGAGCCTGTGACTTGGGTGTGACCATTAACTCCAGGAGAGAAGTGATCACTAGAGAGGGGATCTCAAAATGCTCCTAGCAGGCAGGCCCCACATCACAGACACCAACATCATGGCGTGAAATGGCACCCTTGTTTGTAGCTCCAACAAGCGGGCCAGAGACTATCTGGGGAAGGGGGCATGAGCCCAAATCCCCTTTATGAAAAAAAGAATTCAACGGGGAGGAAACTGACAGGGTTACACTGAAATTAAACATGGTTCTTTAGAAGTTGTTCTAAAAGGCTTCAGAACCTGACAAATTTCAATAAGGCTTTTTACAGCAACCCCTTGGATCTCTCTTAGATAGTAACGTGGCCCCCACTACCGGAGAATCTGAGCACCTCAATCACAACATGCCGGTGAGATGAGCTACACTATCACCCCCATTGCACAGAGGGGAACTGAGGCACAGAGAAGTGAAGTGTTATATTATTATATGAAGTGAATAATATTATATTATTATTATATTATTATAAGTGACTTCCCTAAGGTTACACAGGAAGCCTGTGGCAGAGCGAGGACTTGAACGCAGGTCTCTCAGGTCAGAGGGCCACCCTGCCTCAGGAGGCGCACGCTGCTATGGAATTCTATAGGCTGATTTTAAAAAGTTCTCTGGAAGGATGATTGCTCGAGGGGGGTGGGGAGGAGAAGACACGCAACTTTTATTTATATTATTAATTATTATATTATAACCCAGAGGGGGCCACCTCTGTAGGTCAGGAGTGAGGCATGATGGGGTGGGGGGCAGCACCCTCTGCCATGCCTGTTCTACATCTGAAAGAAATGCTGAGCCTCTTTTTATTCCAGGGTTTCTGGAAGGAATTCAGACTCCAGGAATGTTACTCGGGCACCTTTCACCCCTATTGGAGGAATGTTTAGAGAAGCCTATCACTGCCTAGGCAGTATATTCCCAGTGACTGGGACTTCTCACCAGGAGAGCTTCCAGACTCTGGTGCTGCAATCTCCCCATGGAGGTAGTGATTTAGTGCTGATGAAGTGATCAGTCTTCGCTGCACTCCTATGATCCTGCTTTCTCTCCCCTTTATGATCTGTCAAACATATCAGCTGAAATCCCATCAAGGACCATTGAAGTAGCTCATTGAATTAACAGCCAGGCACCTCAGGTTCCAGCTTGGAGTGAAGAACCAGACGGTGTAAGTGAAATGTAGTTAAGTGGCAGCTAAATCTGAGCAAAAGACACCATATACCAGCCATACAAAACCTCCAGTATTGGGACTCTTAGCTGAGAAATGCTGTATTTTTCTTTTGATTCCAAGACTGCTTATACAAGATCAGTGTTACTGCTATAATCTTAGAAGTAAGAGCTTACAACTGATTTTGGATTCTCCTTGGCCTTTGCATTAAACTCGGTCTTGTACAGCTGAGGTCATATGACTAACTTCATAAAAATAGCACTTCCTTGCTCAACAGACCCATTGCACTTACAAAGCCACATCTGCTTACTTCACTGCACAGTATCTTTCACTCCTGTTAGCCCTGCCGGGCTAGACCAGCTGTGTGAATGACAGCTGAATTCTTTTCTGAGTTGATCAACTGAATTAATAATGATAGATTGAGAGTATATAGTGTTTATACCCAGAGATGTGCAAACCAGAACAAAACCAACCTGACTTTAGACCCGGGGGTTTTAGGTGCTGACACTTCTATTAAAACCTTTTTTTACTAGTAAGCTTAGCAAATATTACCTGGAGTAAATGAGCTGCCATAGACGTGAAACTTCACAATGCCAATTTTAGTCACCATTCCAAGTAGAACTGTACTTTAAGGGGAGGTTTAAGCCTTGTTTACACTGAGGAAACTTACAAAAAATTCCCATTGGTGCTACTACCACTTTATTGGAATGGGTGTTGGCACCAATAGTGTAGACAAGGCTCTTGCCACCAGGACTGATTTTTACTCCCTTTTGGTTGAATCTATTGAAAGTAAGTAACTAAAATGTTGGTAAAAATGGGTTCAGCTATCAGAATCTTGTCTATACCTGGCCTCCAGCCAGTGCTAACCCCAAGTCGGGATTCTTTAGTAAATTTCTCTAGTGTAGGCACTATCTTAAATGACAGGCAAATATGAATGCATGGGAAAACAGAGAAACAGTTAAGTCTCCATCACAGAGAGCTGGAACGTACAAACTCTGGAATTCTTGTGTTCTGAGCCATTCCCTGATTATTATTTTTCTGGCATAGTAGACAGAAAAGTACAATACACCCCACAAGCAAACCAGAAATATAAAACAGAGAAAGAAAAAAAAATCAATGTGTTCCCAGTCCATGGCTTACAGATTTAGTCGATAAATTTAAAACATAAAAGTACTTATAGGGCCAGCATCCACTTCTAACTCTCAGCAAAACACATCAGAGTTTTTATGCCAGGGACATGAGGAACCAAGAGATTGGGGAACTTCTGTATGTGGTTTTAGTAGATGGAGTTAAATGATTGCAGCAAAGGTTATTGCCAGGACTAGCTACCCAAACCTCTTGAAATACACCCATGGCAGGAAGTGGGATCATGTCACCCAATTAAGTACTCTGAGTCAGTACAGAAATCTGCGGCTTTTTAGAAATTCCTTCCAAATCAGGGTGTGGTCATCCATCTGTTCCTTACTAGGGGCTGGATCCAATGCCAAGGGGAGTCAGTGGAAGTCGGATCAGGCCCAAAGTCTGTTCAAGGCATATAGTGATAGTTTTAAGAAAAACAAGCCTTGGAGATATATGTATCCTCTGTGCTGTAGCCTTATTACAATAAGACATTCACGATTACATGGTGCCCTCTGTTACGCCCAGGTACTAATGACTGTGATCAAAGGCAGAATTTGCTGTTCAGAATCTAACTAATTTGCCTTGTAAAGTTTTTAGGAACCACTTTAACTGATTCTGGTGTTGGACTCTGGACTGGAGTGTCCAGAATCTCTGGGTGGCTCACTCCCTGCCCATCCAGTCTGTCCACCTTAAGCAAACAGCTATGATGAAGCTGAGAATGGTGCCGTTGGAACAAACAAACAAAATATTAGCTTGGAGGGAAGTGTAACATGGCAGTAAGCCAGCGCCTCTGAACCACACCTCTAGTGATTTGCCTCAGTGCCCATCAAATGGCTTGGAGACAATCAAAGCACTGAGGCTCCATGTTAACCTATTCTGTTCAGTGGGGCAGACGTCCTGAGAGGAAAGGGCCTTGGTACAATGACTTACAAGACGTTACAGCACAGAAGAAAACAAAGAGGGAGTAAGTTGCAGTGGGGGAGGTCTAGGTTGGATATTAGAAAACACTATTTCACTATGAGGGTGGTGAAGCACTAGAATGGGATACCTAGGGAGGTGGTGGAATCTCCATCCTTAGAGGTTTTTAAGGCCCGGCTTGACAAAGCCCTGGCTGGGATGATTTAGTTGATGTTGGTCCAGCTTTGAGCAGGGGGTTGGACTAGATGACCTCCTGAGGTCTCTTCCAACCTTAATCTTCTAGATTCTAAGTTGCAGAAGGATCTCCCAGAGCAGCTCTTCAGAGGTGTCCATTTGCACACACAACGTATTGTTCTCATATGTGCGTTTGGTGACTTCCGAAAGACCTGGCCTCTGATTCATGGTCATCCTTCATGACTGGCAAATGGTGCAAACCATCACCGTTCATCCTTAGGAGCAGAGCAAATAATTGAGGTTTTTGGTCTGCTGGCCAAATTAAAAAATTCACTTTGTTTTTAACTGAAACGGATTTCTTTTTTGGTTTCTCACAAACAAAAAACCTCCCAAAATTGTGTTTGGGTCAAATGAACTGTTTTGAAGATGATGATTCAAAACAAAATATCCAAATTTGCAAAATGAACCGTACTGATAATTCCAAAATTTGTTTTCAAGGTTTTTTCAGCCGAAACTATTTGCTGAATTTGACCTGAAGTCACGAATAGTTTCAGTGCCCTGAAAAATGCATTTTTCAGCAAATTTCCTGTCAGCTCAAAAAATTTTACCCAGATTTACTTGGTAGAGCTCTGTGCTCATCTTGAACTGGTGTAAATGACCATACAAAGCACAGGGACTGATGAATTGAGCCCCTGATATAAAAGATCTAAAAACAGAGCATTAGTTGTTTGACATGCTTGCCTCTGGAACCAAATGGTCACTGACAGTACTAGCTACTGCCAGAAGAATCCTCTTTAGACGTTAGACAGAAGATACACAATGGACACAGCTTAGATGGAAACATCTCAGAATCAAAAACAGATTCAGTGTCTAATACTAAAATATAGCCCATCCCCCAGCCCTCCCTCCCTTTTAGAGGTCAGCATACCTAACCACTCAGACCCACACAAACAACTCTTTATTTTCTACACTCTCTCCTTCCTACTGTTTTCTCCAGATCTTCTTCTTTCACCCCCAAATTACAATCTTGTGTCTTAGACACAACTTCCCAACTGTTACACATTTACATTTGCTATTATATGGATGGCTGGACTTGCAAGACATATGGCAAGAACCTATTTTATATTTCTCTACCAAACCTTAACAACAAACAGCCCTCACCTATAATAATAATAATAATAATTAATAATAGTGTACCTGTCCAACCGTTCAGCTAAAACATGCAGCTGGACAGAGAAATGGCAGGACCTCTTGTATATAGAAATTGATACAGTTTCACTCATTTTATAGAACACTGTGTGGTTCTTGGATTCTGAAGATTTTTTTTCACTGTGTAGAAGGGAACAGGAGACTTCCTCGATGATGGGCAGCTATATGAGAACATACGTATTTTCACTGGCTTTGGATATTATCTCTCAACAGACTTCAAAAACTGTATCAGTCTGTGGACTCAGAATCCAATGGGACAGTATAAAAGCACTACAATGAAACGGTTTAAAAACTACAATGGAAACTCCCCCCATCTTATGTGCTTTGTTATTTCTCACTAATTAACCAGGAAATCTTTGGTTTTCTAGGACTATCAATTATACCAGTGGTTCTCAACCTGCATCTGGTTTGCAGTCCAATCAGCACACAGCTGCAGTCCATGTAACATCCTCAGGGCCATACAGGTAGTATACATATTGGGTGGGTGTCACCCACATGGAGGGATAGCTCAGTGGTTTGAGCATTGGCCTGCTAAATCCAGGGTTGTGAGTTCAATCCTTAAGGGGACCATTTGGGGCAAAAATCTGTCTGGGGATTGGCCCTGCTTTGAGCAGGGGGTTGGACTAGATGACCTTCTGAAGTCCCTTCCAACCCTGATATCCTATATAACACATATTTGAAAACCACTGGTTTATACAAATGGATTGCCAGATCCTCTAGAGATCTGAAGGCCTAAGGGGCATGGGCTATGGGGGGGGAATTAATTACAAATAACTTTTTATTAATGATAATTTGTAAAGAGAACTTGTTAGGTTTTGAGAGTGCTTCCTCGCTTGTAAAGCATACAGCTGTCTGCAAGAGTTTGCTGCTCTTCAAGTCTCCTTACTCATAGCTGGGAGGCATGCAAGAGATCCATAAATCAGAGCATCTTCCTAAGGCTGCAGGGAGGCCCAGGGAGAGGAACCCTGCTCAGACTCCTCCTCCCGCCATGGCTCTGCACAGCCTCCGTGCCAGTTAGCTTTCCCCAGCCCTGCCCGCTCAGAGCCCCTGCACAAGGGGAGAGGGGGCAGCGCTTGCCCTTGATGTTAGCAGGAGTCTGTGCAGCCTACACAGCCCAGCTCAACCCGTGAGGACCAGCACTAATGCCAGTCTGCTGGAGCCCTGCAAACTCAGCTCCTTCCAGGCTGCATGGGACCCCCGAACCATGCAGGCAGACGGGGCGGGGGGATTTTGAGCCCTTCTCACAGAAACCAGGGGGTTCTCAGATGGCTTGTCCCGGAACACTGATCTCCTCCCACATGGCTGGGCAGGGGGCAGTGATGACAGCAGCGCTGGGCACGAACCAAACACCAGCTGCTGCAGCAGCAGCCTGTAGCCAGCGCAGCCTGGGTCCCGGCCCGGGCAATGGCCACCTCTACCCCACCCACCTGTGCTGCTGCCAGGGCGCTGGGCTGTGCCTCAGTGGGGAGCTGGGTGTCAGGGAGCCTGTATAGACAAGGGGGGTGCAGGAGGCAGGGCACCCCCATTTAGAAGCTGCATTCAGGGTCAGACAGGTGGGCTGTACCCCTGCAAGGGGCTAGGAAGGTGAGTGTAGGAGCAAAGGGTTGGACAAGGTCTCTAGCTGCCCCTACAGAGCTCTGGTGCAGGGAGCCCATATAGAGAGGGGGTGCAGCAGGCAGGGCACCCCATGGGGGCAGGCAGCCACAGAGTCCCTGGCACCCCCGGCAGGGAGCTGGGTGCCAGGCACTCCTTGGGGAAGGTGGGGCAGGGACAGGCGGGGTGTCTGGCAGCCCCGGCAAGGAGCTGGGTGCCAGGAGCAGGGCACGCGTGGGGGCGGCGGGGGGGCCTGGGCAGGCAGTGCCGGGGCAGGCGAGGAGCGGCGCCCTTACCGAAGTAGACCTCCTTCTGGCAACGGGGGCACTTGGGCATGGTGGTAGCTCCGCACGGGCTGGGCTCTGCGCTGACTGCTGCTGGAGTTCCTCTGCTGCTCGGTGCGGCCCGCGCCGGCAGGGTCACCCCGCGGCCCCGCCCGTGAAGCCCCGCCCCCCAGCTGTGCTGCCTGCGCGGGGGGAACCCTGGCACAGGGGCAAGGGAGGGAAGACAGGAGGGACGAAACTGCCGTGCCGGGGCGGGACGGGGCGGTGGGGGAGGTCTGGGCTTGGGGCTGGGGGGCGGGTGGAGTGGAGGCGCTGGTGGACAGAGGGGGATGGGGGGAATCAAGGTGCATCTCCTCTCCTGGCCCTAGTGTCCTGTTGATTTTTGTCCCACGCTCTTTCCTAACTCAGGGGCTCCCCCTGTTCCTGCCCCCAGCCTGCTGCTCCTTCAGGACATTTGGCCCTTGGGAGCCAAGAAGCAGCACACTTGGTGTCAGGCCCCCAGACTGGCCCAGATTCGTCGCCGGGGCTCCAGAGCTGCACTGGTGGAGCAGAGACGGGGGCATTGCGGCCACAGTGGGAGTTAATCACCCACTGCTTTCACCCTGTGGGGCAGCAGGTGGGGGCTCCAACTGAGATCAGGCTTAGGGCTAGTCAGGAATTGTTCAACAAAACATTTGTTGTCAGAAAACACTGATTGGTGACACCAGAACCTGCCAGGGGACCGTGTCAGTTTTAATTATTTCTGTTCTCAGAAAGGTTTGTCAGGTCCCAGTTGGAATTTCTGGTCAAAACCAAAGCCAGAGAGACTGGCCACCACCCTGGGGAAGGGGAACCCAGGTTTAAGTCCCTGATTCAGGACAGGGATTTGAACCTGGTCTCCCACATCCCTGGGGAGCACCATGTGCATGGGGCTATTGACTAGGCAGGTTGGTGGTTTCTCTCTCTGGAAGGTCTCTGTTTTACCCCAATGCAGAATGGGAACATTTTTGAAATCTTGACAGTTTTTTGGGAGAACTGTTTTCTACAGAACTGGATGCATAGACCAGGAGTGAAAGCCAATCCCTGCCCTGAAGAAGTTACAATCTAAACACCTGGGGGGATGTGGGGCTCAGAGTGGATGCAATGACTTGGCTGAGGTCATGCTGTAGCCCTGGCTGACCCCTGCATTCTTGAACCATTGAATGAAAAGAGCTCCTGTGTCACACCCAGCGCCTTAACCACACAGCTATCCTTCCACTCGATATACAGTCCCACTTCCTTGGGTGCTGGGGTCAGCTGGCACACCCGGAGCGCTGAGTCTGACAGGAAAGCATATTTTAAAAGGCCAAAGGAAGCACCAGGCTTGGATCTACTCAGGCTGATTCTGATCCTGGAGCAGTTTGTGCCAAGAGAGGAAGCAGGCCCCACACCCCTGGGCTGTGCATTCTTAGGGGTGTGGTGGGGACCACATGTGCTTATGGGGAACATTTGATCATGTTTTTTTATTATTACTATTATTTGCGGAGTTGCTTTTCTTTTGGAATAAACCCCTCCGAGGAGTCCCAGATGCATTCCTGAGGGAAATCCTTTCTGTCTGGCTAGGAAGGAACTAAGAGGAATAGCTAAAGGCCTATTTTGCATTCAATTATCCTCCTCCTGTACAAAGCACCAAAGCCAAAAATGTCAGAAATGAAATCAGGTGCCTAGCTGCAGCCAGCAAGGGGCTGTTGTCTGCGGGTAGTGAGCACCCACAATTTCAGGTGAAATCAACAGGAGCTGCAGCTGCTCAGTACTTCCATTAAATCAGGGCCCCTCAGTGTCTCAGGTTGGTTTTCTTCCCAGGGTTTACCTCAACTAGCTAGATGAAGGTAAAGAGCATTTCCCCTGTTCCAGGCTCAGGTTACATTCATGGTTAAATCAGGATTAGCTAATAACTCTAATCTAATCTCAGTCTTTCTTCCTCAGCTAGACAGACCCCTTCAGAGGCACATAAACCTGTATGTTATAGCACAGTTCTCTTGCTGTCTTCTTCAAACCAGGGTAAAAGCCAAAGCTCTGTGCTGATTTATAATCACCAAACCCCAGGAAAGGGGCTGTGGGTGGTATCTGGTCCTTAGAGGATGGCAGCTTTCCTGCAGAGTCTAGATTAGGAATGACTGAATAATGTCCTCCTAACCAGCAGCACTGCATCTCACCCCTTACAGCAGGCAAGAAGTTGGACTGCTGTCCTTGGCACTTGGGGAAAGGGATTTCATGAATGAAAGCCCTGAAGTGCCAGGTCTTGGCAACAGTCACTGAACTCAGTAGGACTAATTCTCTCTTATGTAAAGCATGCACTCCCGTCCCATTGGCTGGGAGCAGGAGCCTTTGTAAAGCATATGTGCTGCAAGATTTTCACTCTAGATCATGAAATAAACTTTAGGGGTGAGTCAAAATAGGATGGGGTCTGACAAAGTGGGGGGGAGGGGTTGAAAGGGGTGCTTGCTCCCTCCCCCCCCCCCCCCCCCCCCCCCCCC